GGTATTAAATAGTCTAGGGAGGTAATAGGTCCTCATGAAAGTTTAGTATCGCAACAACAAATTCGACCAAAGTTAGGGTATTTTTCAGACCCTTATCCTTAAAAAATATATAGTGTAATTGTTACTTAACTCTTGACTTTGTAATTCAAAATTCACCTTCTAAAATTAGCGCTTCTCTCTAGCTCGTGAACTTAATCGATACAAAGTTTTATGATAGCTAGTTTGTTAATTTCTCTGTTGGTATATCTATCTTAGCTTATATTTACATCACGGCTAGCTACACTAAAAAAATTATGAATTGAAATATCTGTTTCTTTGAATTGTCTATATCAATTGGGTACATTTTCCAATTTCACTCCAATAATATTTTTTTAAAAGATCATATCGATTATGTGTTTGATATTTAAATTTTTAATATAGATGCTCATAATTTATCCTTATCCTTCCGAAATTACGAGAGTAATAAATCATATCGATTATTGACTGTTTCTTTATCATGCGCTTTGCTTTTCTTTTTTTCTCCAGGAAGAAAGAGACTGATTCTTTCTTTAATGTAATAAAATCAATTTATGCCTCCATTTTCAACAAGATAGAAAAGAGTTAATAAGTAAATAAACAACAAAGGAGTGGATAACCAAATCTAAATTCTTGACAAAATCTCTTGTATGAGCAAAGTGTAAGATTGTCAAGGATCAATTACTATATTTTCCAAGATAGAATGGATAGAATTTCTCTGTCCTTAATCAGAGGTCTTAGATTCAAACCGATTTGGGTATTAAAAAACCTTATCTCCCCTAAATAGGCTTCGACTCAAATGAAAAATATCAAACACCGAGTGAAAAGTTTATACCATAAATACACAATTTCGATAAAAAAGAAAATGGAATTCAAAAAGGACCATAATTTTTAATTATAATCGAAAGTAACAATTTCAAAACTTTCAAGTATATTCACAAAACATGAAATTGATATTCCATATTCAAACATATATATCTAGTAGAAGTAATAATATAAAGCAAGCAACATACTTTTTCCCAGCTGCTCTTTTTTTTCTTAATTAATTACCAAACACAACAAATTTTATAATGTATGGTAATTAATAAAATGCTTCATTATTTTTCTTTCCTTTAGTCATCAATATTGGCCTTCTGCTGCTACATGAAGAATTACTGCTGGAAATTCCATAATTGCCATCATTATACATCAAAGGCAAATCATTAGCATCTTCACCTTCATCCTCATGAGTAGCAATGCGGATACATGAGCAACGTTGTAACGACGCGAAAAACGCGGCGGATACACCGTTGATCAACCACATAGCCATTCCATCGAATTTTCCGCAGCCAGACGTAGTACTGGCTGCGGAAGACCGAATTCTCGGTTCAACGGAACTTGGCCGGAAACTGAAAAAACTGCCACAACTAGTGGTGGTTGTAGC